GGGTGAGTGGTGGCGTGCACGTGGACGTGGGGGGCGGGGGTCAGTGGTGACGTCCACGTAGACGTGGGTGGCGGGGGTCAGTGGTGACGTCCACGTAGACGTGGGTGGCGGGGGTCAGTGGTGACGTCCACGTAGACGTGGGTGGCGGGGGTCAGTGGTGACGTCCACGTAGACGTGGGTGGCGGGGGTCAGTGGTGACGTCCACGTAGACGTGGGTGGCGGGGGTCAGTGGTGACGTCCACGTAGACGTGGGTGGCGGGGGTCAGTGGTGACGTCCACGTAGACGTGGGTGGCGGGGGTCAGTGGAGACGTCCACGTAGACGTGGGTTGTGGGGGTCAGTGGAGCCGTCCACATAGACGTGGGGGGTGGGGTCAGTGGAGACCCCGTAGACGTGGGTTGTGGGGGTCAGTGGAGACGTCCACATAGACGTGGGTGGTGGGGTCAGTGGAGACCCCGTAGACGTGGGTGGCGGGCCCCGTGACGCGTCCCCACGTCCCACATGCGGGGCCACAGGCACATCCAGAACCGGGTCCCATGCTCCCTGTGCCAGACCACGAGCAGCTGGCTTGTCTGCGTCCTGGCGGAACCTCCCCAGCGACCCCCGGGCCCTGCCTCCGAAAGCCGCACTGACCGGGGGACGGAAACGTGCCGAAGCAGAGCAGGACAGAAGCGTTTTAAATTGCTTTTGCCTGATGTTTTTATAGCAACTTCCCATTTCTACTGCCGTCCACCTGGTACTTTTTCTGGCGTGTGCCCTCGGAGAGACCTCCGGTCAAGCACGGCGCGAGCGCGAAGCTGGCCACGGCCACCGTGCAGACGCCAGACAGCCGGGGCGCTGTGCCCTCACGTCCCTGTGGTCACGTAGTGACAGCCAGGGTCCCAGCCCCGGCGCGGCCAGCTGACCTTGGCTGAGTCCCCAGACTGGGCCTCCGTTACCAGACGTGTCAGTCAGGGACGAGTCTGCTTCCTCTGGCTTTTGTGGGTAAAGAGAGACGAAAGTGTCTAGTGTCCGCACCCGGCGGTGGCCGTTGCTTGTTATTGTAATAAATTATTGTTTCAATAAGCATAACACACGAGAGCCAGATAGAACGCCTCCTAGTCTATAGTTGGGTATCTTTTCAGACAGAAGGAATAATCCCGATCTTTCTTTAAGACGTTTCTTCAAACACAGTGCGTTAACTTCACCGTGAATTTATAGCGAACAGATGGTTTCTGTGGCTGCCGCCCGTGACTCCCAGGCTGACGTGACGTGAAGTTATGACCTGGTTCTAATCAGAATATTAGTTCCACATGTTCTAAAGGGTTCACGTGCCGTAAATCTTGATAACTCAATGAGAAGTAATATGTTTGGATCCAAATAAAAGTCCCCTTTCTGTGCATTTTCGGTCCTGAAATGCGCAGGTGCATTTCCAGAGAGAGGCAAATGTGCTCCCCTCGGAGAAACGTGGAATCCCGGGGCGGGAGACCGCGGCAGGGGCCGGGGAGCGGACGGGACCGAATGGCTCGGCCGAGTCGCCTGAGGGCAGAGGCAGGCGGAAGGGGGACCAGCGGCGGCATCCCCCGGGGACGTCCGGACGTGCTCGATGCGGCTTCCCCGGCCGAGCGCCCAGGCCCGGGCCAGCAGGCCTGGCGTCGCCTGCAGAGGGGACTTTAGTAGCAGCTGTGACATCGGCAGCAGCCAGACGGAGGGCGTCACTGTGCTCCTTTTTCTCAAGTAACACAGCTGGCTGGCCGCGGCTCGTTTCTTTGTCACCTCTGGGTGTCACCTTCCTGTGCCCAAGGCGCTTTCCTGGGGAGCTAGAGCCACTGTGCCCTGAAGGGACGGGAAGAGGTGGCTGTGGGGCAGCCCTGTGCCCCAGATGGCGCGGGCAGCATCTCCCCGAGCAGGCCGGAGGCTCGGGCAGCGTGGCCGGTGGGCTCCCGGCCCGGCCCCTCCAGTCGCTCCTCTCCGGCCGGATGCCTGGGGCCCTGGTGGTGACCGGGGCAGGGGGGCGGGGATGATGGGGTCTGTCTGAGGGAATGCGTGCTGGTCTGTGGGGTCGACACGGAGACTCCCCGCAAGGAGCCGGCAGAGGGTGGAGCCTCGCCCGACCTGTGCTGGCCGAGCTGTCAGGCCGTGCAGACGCCTGAAGGCCGTGGCCCCGTCCCACAGGTCCCCACACCGCCTCTGCCCAGGGCCCGGGACGCTCGGGCCTTGGGGTCTGAGCCGCCCGCCCCAGTGTCAGGCCACAGTTACAGCGACGAGTGCCTGGTGTGCCGGCCCCGGCTGTTCACATGGCCCCGGCTCTGAGACTCAGCCAGGGGACGGTGCGGGCTGTGGTGAGGGGCGGAGCGTCTGTCTGGGCACCCGCGGGACGCAGACCCCGGCAGCGGCTCAGACTGTGCCCAGCAGAACAGAGGTCTGTGTCGGCAGAACCCAGAGCGTGATCCTCCGTGCCCGAGGGGCTTCTCGCTGGATGGGGCGGTCAGCTCGGGTACGCAGACGCGGGGTGCAGGGGCACCACGGGGAGGAGGCCGTGTCCCCGTGTGTCCGCATGGCGGTGGCGGCTCCAGGATGTCCAGGGCTCGGCCGTGCCCCAGCCTGCCTCCCCCACGGCCTCCCGACTCCAAGCGACACGGCCACGCTGGGTCCATTCTACTTATTTCCATGTCAAAATGACAACATTCGAAGGTTTTTCTCCGATCGTGCGTTTTGGGGTATTCGTCGGAGTCCAGCTCCGTGTTCACCCGAAGGACGTTGTTTAATTGGCGGCGCTCGGTGTGGTGGACGCACAG